TGACATTGAATCAACATTGAAAACGGATTGGATTTAAAAAAAAAAAAAGTAATCAACATAAGGGAATTTGTCTTTTTTTCACCCAACTTTTAACCTAAATCCAATTACATGATGACATGGTGAAATGTTTTGTTGAAATCAGGTTAGTTGACAAATCAACCAAATGTAAATAAAAACTGGACGAACTGACGTCTGTGCCCAGTGGGTTAGCCTACTTTAAATTATATCTGCCATAGCCATATAAAACCAATCACAGACAATTAATTATAGGCTATCGAAGAAATAGGCTACAACAAAAACACCGCACGCAAATAAAATGCGAATTACTTTACAAAAAACATGATATTTTTTTCTAGGAAAAATACTTAATAATAATAAATGTATTTGGCATACCTGTGTCGATAAACATATCGCGAACACAATCACTCCGAGATGAACAACCGTCATTTTAGACATCCTTATGATGATTTGGCCAGAACTTCAAGCACAAACGCAAACAGCAGCGAAAGTCCCTTTGAAAATGTGATCACTGAGATCGGACCTACCTTCTTTATACCAGCATCATGACTGACGTGTGACGTGAGACTTGCACATACCTAATCAACCAGGAAACAAAATAACCATTTACTGTAAAAGCATGCGATAAACATATTTGTTTTTATATTGAACATATGGGTCGTTAAAATCCATATGCAATTGATATATTTTATAAGGGTGTGTCATCAGTGGGGGGGTTACATTCAGAGCTACATTCGGAAGCTTTCTGGGAATAAAACAAAATATGGCTTTGGAACGGCTCCCATTGGATGAAAAGGTCTGCTACAGGGGCAACTTCAGTTCAGGTATTAGGTTTCAACGTCCAAATGAAGCCATTTGCAACGTGTTGCTTGGCCAGTATTTTGACCCACAGCGGTATCTCCTGCCTACAGTTGGCAATGAACCTCTTCGTGGTCCATTGTTTGAATTATATTACTTGAGTCTTTGGTCTTCGGGGAGGGATTTTTATTTGTATTATTATTATTATTATTATTATTATTATTATTATTATTATTATTATTATTATTATTATTATTTCACCATTGTAGGCTACGGTAATGGATAGGTTCCTATGACCAATACAGGAATCGCTAGATTTTCTGTCCAAACCCTATCTGTATAGAAATCTAATGGGTCAAATACAAAATGGGTATCATCGCCTGAGGTGGCCTTACTCAATATGCAAAAGCTACCAACAGGTGAGTCCCCCCAGCCTCAACAGAAAATAGGTTAATGTAGCCCTCTGGTGGCAAGTCAAAGTAACGCAATATCAACGACAGATCATCTTACATCAGCCCATTGCAAACTAATGGGGGAAACCTCTTCGTACAGTACGTTTTCAATCATTTTCAAAACTGCCAGGGGTATTTCAAATTGCCCTTTTTATGATTGGATCCAGATGTGGGATTGTAAATTTAGGCCTATAAATACAGTCCCTAGTCTCTTGCCATTTGGGTAAGTGGATTTCTGATGGAATAGTGAGATGGTCTGATCCCCTCTAGAGGGAACCTAAAGAGACAGAGCTCCTTCGCTGCCTGCGCACCCTGCAGAGGTACCAGATGTGCTCTGTTATTGAGACGGGGAGAGAGTGGGGCCTTTTGTAAGGTATCAGATAAGCCCGGTTCCCAAAGCCCAGGCGTATCGTGTATCACCAGCGGGTCTATGAGGGAAGCCAAACCCCAGCCAGAGAGCGCACCGGGATCGGGTTTCTGTTTACACGAGCCGTGGTCCTGGGTAGACAGGGGCGCAGGGTAGATGGGGGGAGAGTGGTGAGAGACATAACATATACCATAACATATAACATATAACAACTTTACCTACATGTACATATTACCTCAATTACCTCAACTAACCTGTGCCCCCGCACATTGACTCTGTATCGGTACCCCCTGTATTTAGCCTTGCTACTGTTATTTTACTGCTGCTCTTTAATTATTATTATTATTATATACAGCTGCAGAAAAAATTAAGAGACCACTGCCAAATTATCAGTTTCTCTGGTTTTACTATTTATAGGTATGTGTTTGGGTAAAAATAACATTTTAGTTTTATTCTATAAACTACTGACAACATTTCTCCCAAATTCCCCCCAAAAATATTGTCATTTAGAGCAGAAAATGACAACTGGTCAAAATAACAAAAAAGATGCAGTGTTGTCAGACCTCAAATAATGCAACGAAAAATAAGTTCATGTTCATTTTTAAACGACACAATACTAATGTTTTAACTTAGGAAGAGTTCAGAAATCAATATTTGGTGGAATAACCCTGATTTTCAATCATAGCTTTCATGCGTCTTGGCATGCTCTCCACCAGTCTTTCACATTGATGTTGGGTGACTTTATGCCACTCCTGGCGCAAAAATTCAAGCAGCTCGGCTTTGTTTGTTGGCTTGTGACCATCCATCTTCCTCTTGATCACATTCCAGAAGTTTTCAATGTTGTTCAGGTCTGGAGATTGGGCTGGCCATGACAGGGTCTTGATCTGGTGGTCCTCCATCCACACCTTGATTAACCTGGCTGTGTGGCATGGCGCATTGTCCTGCTGGAAAAACCAATCCTCAGAGTTGGGCAACAATGTCAGAGCAAAAGGAAGCAAGTTTTCTTCCAGGACAACCTTGTATGTGGCTTGATTGATGTGTCCTTCACAAAGACAAATCTGCCCGATTCCAGCCTTGCTGAAGCACCCCCAGATCATCACCGATCCTCCACCAAATTTCACAGTGGGTGTGAGACACTGTGGCTTGTAGGCCTCTCCAGGTCTCTGTCTAACCATTAGACGACCAGGTGTTGGGCAAAGCTGAAAATTGGACTCATCAGAGAAGATTACCTTACTCCAGTCCTCTACGGTCCAATCCTTATGGTCTTTTGCAAACCTCAGCCTGGCTCTTCTTTGCTTATCATTGATGAAGGGAATTTTTCTAGCTTTGCACGACTTCAGCCTGCCCCTAGGAGCCTGTTTCAAACCGCCCTCGCCGTGCACTTCACCCCAGCTGCCGTTTGCCATTCTTTTTGTAGGTCATTTGATGTCATCCTACGGTTGTTGAGTGACATTCGAATGAGTTGGCGGTCATCCCGGTCAGTAGAGAGTCGTTTTCGCCCTCTGCCGGCCTGTAGCTTTGTTGTCCCCAATGTCTGCTGCTTGACCTTGTTCTTATGAACCGCCGTCTTTGAAATTTTAAGGATGGAAGCAACCTGACGCTCACTATATCCCTCTGCCAGTAAAGCCAGAATTGAACCCTTCTTTTCCTCACTCAAAACTTTTGGCATGGTCAATAGTTATATTTTGCTTAATATTACTTTTGAGGTACTATTAGCACTGTTTTTGCCATCCAGCTGGTTCTATTGCAAGAGGATAGTGATGACCACAACAGTGGTTTTTATACTTTTCCTCGTTAAATAAGATTTGGTTCATGTGATCACCTAATCAGTACCTAATTCAGTAGAATGAGGTGTGCCTGTGATGGAATTCAACAGACACTGGAATGGAATGGCTGTCATACATGTGTCACTAGAGATCCTGGTTCGAATCCAGGCTCTGTCGCAGCCGGCCGCGACCGGGAGACTCATGGGCGGCGCACAATTGGCCCAGCGTCGTCCAGGGTAGGGGAGGGAATGGCCGGCAGGGATGTAGCTCAGTTGATAGAGCATGGCGTTTGCAACGCCAGGGTTGTGGGTTCGATTCCCACAGGGGGCCAGTATAAAAAAAAAATATATATGTAAGTCGCTCTGGATAAGAGCGTCTGCTAAATGACTAAAATGTAAATGTAAATGTAGAGATGCTGATTTAAGAAAAATGTGCAGTGGTCTCTCTTTTTTCCACAGCTGTATATATATATATTTGTTTTACTTATCTATTTTTTACTTAACTTTTTTCTTAAAACTGCATTGTTGATTAAGGGCTTGTAAGTAAGCATTTCACTGTAAGGTCTACACCTGTTGTATTCTGCGCATGTGATGAATAACATTTGATTTGATTTGATAACTTATAACATACTGTATAACATAACATATAACATAACACAGGCTACTACTTCTCGGAGAAAGCCCTTTACATCAGCAGAAAACAAGGATTTCAGTTCCACCGCCAGTATTAAGTGGCTCAAAGTCATATACTGGTCACAGACTTCTGAGAGGAACACTCCCAATACAGTAGTGTTAAACATTCATTGACTATACATAGTTTTGCTGCCTGTGGCATTTCATCAGGGCAGAATGATAAAGCATATCAAGTCCTTGTGTGGTATCACTGACCTTAAAATAATAGTGGGTTGTGAGCTACTTTCCTCTGTTATGCTGCGTCCAAGGTTGCTATCCCACTGCGCATAGACATCAGTTCAACGTCTTGTTTTGATTTACATTTGGTTGAGTTGTCAATTAACGTAAATTCAACATGAAATCAATCAAAAATGTCACCATGTCATTGGATTTAGGTTAAAAGTTGGGTGGAAAAAAGACAAAATTCCCTTAGTTGATGGCTTTTCAAATCCAATCAATCTTCCACCTTGATTCAACATCATCACTTTTATTTTTTACTTTTTTAAATGAAGCGGAAGCAACATTGATTCAGCCAGTTTTTGCCCAGTGGAATGTCTCTCTCTCTCTCTCTCTCTTCTCTCTCTCTCTCTCTCTCTCTCTCTCTCTCTCTCTCTCTCTCTCTCTCTCTCTCTCTCTCTCTGATCAAACAGATGTAATTTGAGAAACCCCCTAACATTCTACCGTGATATCGTTTACCCACGCGGGATTTTCATCTCTATTTAAATCCTGGAATATAATAGACAGTGTTGGTTCTATGTTCCCCGCAGATAAAACACAGTCCTCGCATTCCTCGTGAAATGTATCTGTTGAGATTTGGGAGGGTTGGGCGCCAGGTGTTGGGTTACAGCGTGGAGGCCCCTCCCTGCTCTCCGGGATTTAGAGAGAGGGGATTGTTCGTCCGCGGCGGTACGGCGGCAGCAGCAGCCCACAGCGCGCAGCAAGCATGTTCAGTGGAGAGTCAATGGAAGGAGCCCCCAGATGACGGACGCAGACGTCTGGGAATGACAGCCGCTGTCACGGGGAGTGATAGCTTTCGCTCTCTGCCGCAGCACCTTGACTAGCCTTGACTAGCCCCGGAGAGACGCGCTCTATCAGTCGCACGCCAAAGAAGTGACACGGAGCCAGTCAGAACTATGCCAGAGATGGAGAAAGGGAGACCGCCGGAAAATAAACGCAGTAGGAAACCCGCGCACCCGGTCAAGAGAGAGATCAACCAAGAGATGAAGGTGAGGGGAAATGTGTTTTTTTGGCTACTTTTTGTGCAGTGTTTGGTTTGTGAATAGTCTCAAGGGCAGATTGAGACTATTGAGACAGTGAGAGAGCTCCGTGCGCACAAATCACACAGTTGTAGAGGCATCCACAGACGCCATGCAAAATTCGATTTGTTCCCATTGAAACAATTAAAGTTGCTTATAATTTAATGCCATTATATTATGGAATTCTTCCGAAATAAAAGTGATAAAACAATTGTGTAACATAACATTAGTCCCATATGGTGAAATTAGACAGCTATATTATATTACCTGGCCTTTCCATAATAAACCGACTGTCTGGAAATTTACTTTTGCGGGGGAATGAAAAAGTGTCACTCTTATGTTATCCAATATTTGATGTCGTGTCCACTGAATGGTAGGTAGCCCTTCTGTAGTGACGCCATGTCAGTCCATCTGTGGCCTCGCGCAGCAATGTCCAGCGGTGTTCCAGATGTGAGTCACCACCAATCCGCAGGAACACATCACTTCTTTCCCGCTTCGGCTGTGCACGCACTTGTTGTAGTAGGCTAGTCTACAGGTTTACAACAATGTAACATTATAAAAAGAAAGGCATTCGAACGAACATACCTAGTCACATCACTTGATAATATCTGCTAGGGCAGAGGATCAGTAAGGCCGATCCTAAACAGGTAACTGCAGTAAGTGTGCCCTTGGAAAGTGACTCAGAATCAGTTTCATGGAAACTATGTCTACTGTTTGATTTGGTGATTCCAATTCAAAACAAAATGGGATATGATGCTATTGGTTTGAGTCCTACTGCTAGAGTGCAAGCCCTGTAGTAGGCTAGGCTAAAAGCCCACAGTTTGTCTGCCTGCAGTTTTATGAGTTCTGACATGGGCCACTGGGCACAGATGTCAGATCAAAGTGTAGTTTTGATTTACATTTGGTTGAGTTGTCTACACATGTGAATTCAACATTAAATAACATTTTAAAAATGGGCTTGTTTTGTGAGAGGAAATGTGCTCTTTTTGCATAAGTGGTTTGCATTGTAGCTTTTGATATCCAGGGAGTGGTGTAGAATTACAACTGAACTCATTTGAATGAAAACATGCTAAATGCTATCTGTGCTTGATGTAAGTCAGCCCAGCCTGGCTCTTAGCTGGATCTGGGGGAAGGCCCTAGGTTGTTGCCTTTGGCCAGGGCTCTTTCTGTGGTTTGGGATTTGGCTTGTCACTCTCACAAAGCAGATGTTTGTCTGAACTGCCAATAAGAAACAAAAACAACATTGTGGGAAGTGAAGCACAGGGAGGGGAAAGAAAAAACGCCCGTCTCTCCCTAATGAGAAAATAGTGAGACAAAACAACACTGAATTCAATGTAATATAGGAGGACGTACCCTGATGTAATCGTTGATGTAGACTAGGCTAGTCCCACGGGATGCAGACTACTACTTTGTGATTCTCAGACCTACAGGGAGCCACGTGGATCTACAAAACAGGCCTTGGGTGACCGCGATAATGAACTGGGGCAGTTGGGCTTGAAGGTCAATGGTATAAGAGTGGAGTTATGAAATAGAGAAGGGGAGAGAAAGAAAGACAGACACACACACACACACACACACACACACAGTCAGAGAGACAGACAGAAACAGACAGACAGACAGACAGACACAGTCACAGTCAGAGAGAGAGACAGACAGATAGAAACAGGCAGACAGACAAAATAGAACTCTCAGACAGATCAGAGAGAGACAGACAGACAGACAGACAGACACACACACACACACACACACACACACACACACACACACACATACACACATACACACAGTCAGAGAGACAACAGACAGACAGAAACAGGCAAACAGACAGACAGAATCAGAGAGACAGACAGTCAGACAGACAGACAGACAGACACATAGAAAGTGATTTCAAGGTCTGTCTGTCTGTCTGCGGGCTGCTCCGGTCCAGTCCAGTGTTGTCTTAGCTAAGGGATCTATTTCAACACCACAGTCAAACCCACTCCCTCCATGCCAGACCGTAGCACAGCGCGGACACCAGATACCTGACTTTATTCATCGTTAGGCATATTTAGCTGGATATGATACCTCTACGTACACACACACACACACAAACACACACACCTGGACACACACACACTATTTATTTTCTTTCAGGCCCTGTCAGAGTGAGGAAAGCAGAGGGAAGAATGTGCAGTCAGTAGTACAGCCCTAGTGCAACACTACAACAGGCAGACTGTCCACGCTGGAAAAGGCTGAAACCCAAGAGGGAGTGCAGTGTCAGGTAACAGGGCTGGAAGGTGCCTGGGTGGAGGGGGCAAGGGGAGGGCAGGGGAGGGGAGGGGAGGGAGGGGAGGGAGGGGACACACAAAGAGGGACTGCGGAGTGTTGGACACTTGGGAGAGGAGCGGGGCATTTCCGAGAACCGTGGGACCTAGCGGCGGTTTAGGGTGTCCCGCTCGGATTTCTGGCCGTTCCAGATCAGATTTCTGCTCCAATCACACTCGCCCCAAAGCCACAGAGGAGAAGAGGCGGATGAAGAGAGAGCGAGACGTTGGTGTTGTTTTCTTTTATATGTTCGGAATTTGAAAAAAGCCAGGATGTTCACTTCACAACCCATCTGCTGAGAACACTTCTTCTTTATTTTCTCTGTCTTCTTTTCCCCAATTAAAAGAGCTAAACAAAGAATGATTCATGTATTTTACACTGGTATTAGGTTGGAAAACTTTTCAGTCTCCAATTTAGCAAGAGTAAACAAACTGCAATACATCATGGAAAAATAGTCATACTGTACTCTTCTGGGTCACCCTGTTCATTTCACCCAGGCAGGGCTGGTCTGGAAGTCTAAAGAATCAGCACATTGATTCGGGAGTGGAAGCTCTGGTTACATTTAAAGAGTGGGATAAAAAGTTCCACTAACAAACCTCGGATGTAAGGTCACTCACAACTGAACTTCACATTGGCTTAGCATTAGCAAGCAGTGGCTCGGTTGTCCCGTCTCTCGCCATGCCCTCTGAATGACATAACCTATAATGTTGCTCAGTGATTTATTTTCCATTTCTCCTTTTAGACGTTTGCAGAGAGCACCATGAATGAGCTCCTAGGATGGTACGGCTATGACAAGGTGGAGCTCAGGGACTCCGAGGCCACCGAGATACGGAACTACCCCAACCGAGAGAGACGCCAGCAGCACGTCTCAGTCCTTAAAGGTGAGAGAAGGCCAGGGCCCTGTTCAGTAGGTCACACCGTAGTAAAACGTTTTGCAATGGAGAGTGGAAATCTGTGTTTTAATTGGACAAGTTCAGGTAGTACCTCCCTTTTCAAAATGATTCCTGCCTACTGAACACGTCCCAAGGTAATTAGTTCAGGTAGTATCCTTGTTTCACTCCCTTTCTAAACGTTTACTGCCTTCTGAACATTTACTGCCTGCTGGGCATCTGTACAACACAGGTAACATACTTAACAGAGGTCAGACGGAATTCACAGGTAACCCAATAACAGAACATACAGGTTGTTCAATCCAGAAATATTATCAATTTAAACATTTGCTAGGCAATTTAATTCACCCTTCTTATGTTTCACTTATTAACATTACAGTAAACCTGTATGGATGGAGTATTCTCTTTCTACAATGTTCAGTGCCATTGTTTTCTGTCAATGCCCTTTAGGCTGAATGTCTATAAATGATGTGTGTGGAGTGGAATTGGTGCCAAGAGAAACTCAAACTGACTGAATTCAGATTCCATTTTTGTTGGCACTTACATTACTTTATATGTATGTTAGAACATACATTCACTCTAAAGTGACCCTAGACATCCTGTGCCTTCCAGAAAACTCGGTGCCCAAATCCAAGAGCTTAGACAGCAAAGTCAGCCCCTCGGCACTGGCCATGAGGAGTGGAGAGAGCGAATCGTCCAGTGTCCCCTCTTCTTCCTCCCCCAGCTCCTCCTCTCTGACCAGCTCTATGGAGCACAAGAGTGCCCCCGTAATTGTCCCACTTATAAAGCCATCGGCAGGTAGGGACAGGCCTGAACAAATCTCTCTCTTTCTCTCTCTCTCTCTCTTTCTCTCTCTCTCTCTCTCTCTCTCTCTCTCTCTCTCTCTCTCCTCTCTCTCTCTGTCTCTCTCTCCTCTCTCTCTCTCGCTCTCTGTCTCTCTGTGCTATCTATCTCTCTCTGTTCTCTCTCTCTCTCTCTCTCGTCTCTCTCTCTCTCTCTCTCACTCTGTCCTCTCTCTGTCACTGTCTGTCCGTCTCTCTCTCTCTCTCTCTCTCTCGCTCTCTCGCGCACGCACGCACGCACACACACACACATACACACACATCTACTAAGCATATGCAAACACACACCCTTTGTGTGACCAACTGGGTTAGAACCCAGATCTCCTGCATGTCACAAAAGCGTTTTAGCCTGCTGAGCTAAAGTCTAGACATGATTCATGAAGCTAACGCAAGTCTTCAGGTCTCAGACAAGGTTCCTCATCACACAGGTGTGGTTCACCAAACCACCCCTGTTACACTCACACCCCATCATCATCATCATCATCATCATCATCATCATCGTCATCATCAATACCATATGTAACCTACAGTTCTTTGATACAGCTGTTGATTCAACACTCACATGCTCCTTAGATGCTCATCTTCATCATCAAACACACTTCACATGTTGATGTTGATTCCTCTCCCCTTTGTCTCTGTCCGCAGTGGAAGACGTGCAGAATGTGCAGATAGTGTGTGTGTGGTGTCAGAAGGAGGGGGTGAAGCGCTACTCCCTCTGTATGGGCACTGAGCTGAAGAGCTTCTGTAGTGAGAAGTGCTTCGCTGCCTGCCGACGGGCCTACTTCAAACGCAACAAGGTGAGGGATTCAACTGTGGTTCAACCTTGTTTCAACTAGGAATCAATGGGACAATTTTAGGTCAGACAAAACTGACTTGTCAACTGCTGCAGTTCAGATGGAGAAAATGACACATAGACGCATGCATGTACGCATGCACGCAAACACACACACACTTAAACGGTGAGAAGAGACGTCTGGCAGGTAAACAGAACCTTGGAAATGGAATACCCCTGTTCTCCTCAGTGAGGTCAGCATGCCATTTGTATTGATAAAAAAAACATGAATTTAAAAAGGTGTGTGTTTCTGTGTGTGACGGGGTGTTCTCCAAGCACACACACAAACACACACACACACACACACACACATGCAGTGTTTTGAGAGTGGGAAGCGGTCAAAGTTTGCAGAGGACACTTAGTATCAGTTACGGCTTAATGGAGGAAGGGCCAGTCATCATGCGGCTTGGGTCCGGAGGACAGGGAAGCAGTGCCTATACACAATTCCTCTCCCATACACATTACCACAATTTTTCACCCTCCATCTAAGACATGGATACCTTCTCTTAGATGCGTGGGGGTGTCAGGCAAGGCTATCCCCTTTCACCATTCCTGTTGTTTTGCCGCGCTAGGTTTTATTCACATGACAACAGACAGGGGGGGAAAGAGGGAGTCGTCTGCTGCCTACCTGCCTGGCTGCAACAAACCCTCTAGTTATTTGGGTGGTGGAAGTGGGGATGGAACTGTGGCCGTTGGCTTGTCCCTGCTTGTCTCTGCTTGTCCCTGGGAGGAAGAAGGGCAGAGGGCCTGGGGGCGAGGTGTCCACTTTCAGTGCATACCTTACCTGCAGCTGCTTCATGTTTCGTAACTCGACACGACTCAATGGGTCACAAAGAAGGGACCCTTGAGAATAATATGAGGGTTCAGGTTTGTCATCTACTTTATCTCACCAAAACGTTCCAAAATGTTACCAAAACGTTCCCTTTGTTTCAGTGACCTCAAAGCCCATAGGTCAATGTACTCTGTTACTTTGAACCCGTATGACAAGGCAAATTGTGCAGTGGTTATTTTGGGATTGGTTATGTAAGTTTGTTTTAATGACCAACCATGGGAGCCATGATGATTTAAAGCAACTGTTACTTCATCAACGCTTGATGCTTCAATCCCATAGCGGTACTACTGAATCTAGGCTCTACTCTGAAACAGCTTTAACACAATCCGGGGTCCTGTTCATTAGGGCACACAATGTTTTCAAACGTTTTGCAACAGAGATCGAAAATGTATGTTTCTTATTGGACAAATCCAGGTAGTCCCTCACTTTTTTTTTTTTCTTCGTTTGGTGCCTAATGAACATTACCCAGCTCTTGATAGTTTGTTTTAAGTGTATAATGATGCGGCTTTGCCCCCCTCCGTCAGGCCCGGGATGAGGACCTCCATAGCGGGGAGAGGTCCCCCCAACACACCCATGCCGACGACTCACCCCAACTGGTGCTGAAGATGAACAGTGGTGGTGCCAGAGTAAGAACAGAACACAATCCACTTCATAGAAATATAATATATTTTTAAAATAGCTTAGCTCAAAGACTAGTAATGTTGTCTTTGAGAGATGCACAGCTACTTCAAAACATGTAGGACACATATTAAGGGGAAGTTTCCAGGACACAGATTAAGGGGCAGTTTCCAGGACACAGATTAAGGGGCAGTTTCTAGGACACAGATTAAGGGGGCAGTTTCCAGGACACAGATTAAGGGGCAGTTTCCAGGACACAGATTAAGGGGCAATTTCTAGGACACCGATTAAGGGGCAGTTTCCAGGACACAGATTAAGAGGCAGTTTCCAGGACACAGATTAAGGGGAAGTTTCCAGGACACAGATTAAGGGGCAGTTTCAAGGACACAGATTAAGGAGCAGTTTCTAGGACACAGATTAAGGGGCAGTTTCCAGGACACATATTAAGAGGCAGTTTCTAGGACACAGATTAAGGGGCAGTTTCCAGGACACAGATTAAGGAGCAGTTTCTAGGACACAGATTAAGGGGCAGTTTCCAGGACACATATTAAGAGGCAGTTTCTAGGACACAGATTAAGGGGGCAGTTTCCAGGACACAGATTAAGGGGCAGTTTCCAGGACACAGATTAAGGGGCAATTTCTAGGACACCGATTAAGGGGCAGTTTCCAGGACACAGATTAAGAGGCAGTTTCCAGGACACAGATTAAGGGGAAGTTTCCAGGACACAGATTAAGGGGCAGTTTCAAGGACACAGATTAAGGAGCAGTTTCTAGGACACAGATTAAGGGGCAGTTTCCAGGACACATATTAAGAGGCAGTTTCTAGGACACAGATTAAGGGGCAGTTTCCAGGACACAGATTAAGGGGCAGTTTCCAGGACACATATTAAGAGGCAGTTTCTAGGACACAGATTAAGGGGCAGTTTCCAGGACACAGATTAAGGGGCAGTTTCTAGGACACCGAATAAGGAGCAGTTTCCAGGACACAGATTAAGATTAGTCCTAGACTAAAACTAATTATTGATGGAGATTCTCCATTGAGTTTGCTTTTTAGTCTACTACTAGGCTTAAATCTGTCAGGGAAACCACCCTTTAAAGTGATAGTTCAGCGATGTTACATACGGTATTTCAATATTTGCTTCCTTACCTTTGCCAACAATTAGCAACATTAGCCATGTAATTTAATGTCTCCTGTATAGCATGTATTACATTTCATGCCCAAATCATCTCAAAATAACACAATCAATTTCATATGATTTGGTCATGACATTTAACACATGCTGAACAGGGGGAGATTGATTTACATGGGGAATTTGTCCAAAAATGCTAATGTTGCTAATTGTTGGACGTTAACAGATTAACAAAATCAGTGTGGATTGCAGTCACTCCTTGGCCACTTCTTTCAAGGTAAAAAATTAAATATCTACATTTGTAAAATCGCTGAACTATGCCTTTACGAGCTTTATGAATAAAGCAGCTTTGCACAATACTGTTATATAGAATATTCCATATTTTATGTTACCATCTCTACTACATTTACACACCAGTGATTTGCTTTTCACATGGCACTTAAGTAACTCTTCACAGTCTCTCTCGCCTGTACCACAGGTGTGCAACTGGTGCAAGCACGTCCGCCACACTAAAGAGTACCTGGACTTTGGCGCCGGTGAGGAGCGGCTCCAGTTTTGCAGCACCAAGTGTCTGAACCAGTACAAGATGGACGTGTTCTACAGAGAGGCCAGGGCCACTCTCACCAGCTCCAGCCCAGGAAGACCCACCCAGGAGGGGAGACCTGAGTCCACCGGAGGGGTCCAGAACCAGAAGCTCCTGACCCCTGAATCGTGGAGCAGCGGTGCTGGGGAAATGAGATGGAGGACCAGGTCTCCCAAAGGGCAGACGCCGATCAATGGTACGGCGGCGCCAAGGACTGTGTCTCCTTCCGAGGAGTCATCCTCGTCATTGAAGGTTAACGTTTCGGGACTGAGGCATCTGGAGAGGCACATCCTGCCGCCACCCCCGCCACCCCCGCCCCCCCTGGAGGTAGCGAGACACCATCCCGCCACCCCCCCTCCTCGCCACCCCATGGAGCACCACCAGCACCACCAGGCCATGCCTCAGATCCTGCTGCCCTTCATCCGGCCCCCTCTCCATGCCCAGGGCCTGAAGAGCCCCCTGGCCAACCCCCCCAGGGGCCACCCCGGCCCCCCTTCCAGCCCCATCCACCAACCGCCCCCTCACTCCCCCCATCACCCCCACCAACCCCACCTCCAGCCCCCCTCGGCCTCCTCCATGAACCCACCCGGAATACACCCCTACCCGGGGGCCTACTTCCCCGGCTTGCACTCCCCCCATATCAACATGATGGGGCACCGTGGACCCATGCCCATGCCCCCAATGATAAACTTCGGGGGATGGCCATCCTTAGGCCCTTTCTTCTCCCAGCCCACGGTCCTGGTGCCCTACCCCATCATTGTACCAATCCCAGTCCCCATCCCCATCCCTATCCCCATACCCATACCCCCTAAATCTGACCCTCCAGAAGCCCTAGGGGTCCCCCACAGTGGGGTCATCCAGCCTGTGCCAGAGGGGATAGAGAGGGGGCGCTCCAGGGGTGTCAATTTGCCTTCTCCCGGGAGCTTGGTGGCCAACAGATTGGGTCGAACCACCAATCAGGGTCTCCCCTTGCCCTCAGACCACCCCAGAAGGGACATCACAGATTGGGTGAAGTCGGAGAGGCAGGCTCAGTCGCCCATGTCTACCCCCCATAGTGCAGCGTCCTCCCCCAGGGCTCGCTACGATGCTTCCCCATCTTCCACCTCAGTGATCGAGGGGCTGTCAGACTTTAAGCTGTGCCAGCAGCAGCAGCCAGAGAGACAGGTCATCCAAAGAGTGCTCCAGAGGAACCCGATCAAGCTGGAGCCCAACCCCCACGGAGTGGTGGACCTGTCGGGTCCAGGGGAGCCCGGAGTGGGGCATGTCACAAGGCTGGTGGATACCAGAGTGGACGACCACCACAACCACCACCATGACATTATCAAACCCACCCCTCCACTAACCCAGTCCCCCCCTCTTCTGCACGACACCGCCTACCCCCAGAGCCCTAACATACGACCCCCCTCACACACCCAACCAACTCACAGAGGGGAATGCAGCAGCCCTCCCTGCGATACCGCCAACCCCTCCCCCATGAAGCCCCCGGACGTCCCCAACCGAATGACGTCGTCATCATCCCCTGACCCTCCTCCCAGCCCAGACTCCTCCCAGTCTCAGAGAGAGGCCCCGCCCCTTGACTCTGACTCCACCCTCAGTGAGCTGGAGGCAGTTAAAGAGAACAGCTGCTCCAATGGCCAGGTC